TCCGTGTTCAAAAAACTTTAAGCCTTGCAAAACCAAATGCTAGATGAGATTTATACAACACTCCCCTGTTAGTGCAAGACAAACCATACTGGTTCACACCAAATTAATTCTATAGCTCTGAAATTAACTCAATATAAGTCGTTTCTCCAGGCAAGGCAGGTGCAGACATAACTTTGTGCTTCACTATTGGAAATTCAATGCCATCTCTAAATTTGTTTATGCCCTACCAAATTAATTAAACCAATCCAAGAAGTTCATTTCAGTTATCAGGTCCAAAGTAAGCAAGAACTTTGGACACCTTTCACTACTTTCATGAAGCTGTTTGTGGTGTAAAGCACTATGCACATATTAAGTTTCTTGCTAGATGAGGCTCCCTCAGCGGAGTTTTCATTTAACAAACCTTACAGAGGACAAACCTGGGTTTCTCTAGGCAGAGGTGTATGTGACCCAGCACGGAATGGCTTGATCAGTCTCACATTTTGAGCACATCTTTTATGTTTTGTAGTATCAGCTTCTCCTTCTTGTGTGGCCTTATCTGACCTTCCAGAGCTCTGCAGCCACCCATGATGCCCATACAGAAGTTGCTAATTGTGGTTTATTTGTTCATGTGCAAAATCTACTGGGAACAGGAAAGGCGGAATGGTCCCCTGGTTAACAGTACCTCCAGTAATAAGGGTGTGTGATACAATTTCTCACTTTAAGTTGTTAACGGTTTGCCTTGGCTTATCACCTGCTAGCCTCCGTTCACGCCTCTTCTGACTCAGGCACAGGGCTCGCCAGTGCTGCAGTAAATATTGACTAATTCTTCCTCATCCGGTAACCATTAAGTTGCCAGATCACCCCTCTTCTTTCAAAATAACATTACCTTATGCTTCAGCTGGAGGTTCCCAAACACCACGCTGTATTATCTTTCTCTCCCACAGATGGAAATAGTAAAACTTGAGAAAAATCAACCGAGTGCATGGAGAGCGCTGCTGCTGAGTGGTTGCTGGTTCTGCCTCCCAGCCTGCTGCTCTGCCCGCCGGGGCTGGCCGGGAGGGGAGCCAGGGTGCTGCAGGACCCCGGCCCGGGGCGCAGGGCCGCTGCTCCTCCTCCCACGAGCCGGCTCTCGCCCTGGCACACGGGAAGGCTGGCGCTCGGGGTTCCGGCTGCTCCCAGGGTGAGCTGAACCGTGCCAGCCCCTCACCACCGGCGCAGAGGGGAAGCTGCTCCGGCAAGCTGTCTGTCTGACGGAGGTTTGCAAACACACAGTCGTTTCCATCCGTCACAGCCCATGCTAGACGCTCCTCCGGCCCCATGTTTTGTGTTGAAATTTGACTTGCTGCCGTGCGTCTTGTCCCGGCACGGTGCATCCTTCTCACATTGTCTTGGAGCCAACCAAGGATTCATTTGCTTGATTTTTCCTTTTGAAATTCAGGACTGTTCACCAAAGGACTCCAGAGACTTTCTAGAGAAAACTCTGATCCCTGCAAAGTAGGTGAATGGTGGTACAAAAGTGGTCTGAAAGTGACAACTGAACTTCTGAGAAAGTACTTGGGTTTCTTGCTTGAGGTTCTCAGGTTTTTTGTTTGTTTGCTTGCTTCACTACCTATAGTCAAACAACATTTTTGGAAGCCCATACATTGCTGAAAGATTTGTCACCCAAGTTGCTTTATTTAGGTATGAACTGAAAGAATCCATCCAGTTGTCTTACAGGTCGCCTTCAAAAAGCCCCAAACACCCCAAAAAAGCTAGAAACCCAGAGTTTTCTCAAGTGGAAAGCTCATAATAAAAATCAAAATTTCATCACATAGAGATCCAAACCATGCTTTTTTAAAACAAATTTGCAAGTCATGCTTAAGTGACACTTCCAAAGTCACACAGCAAGTCAGTGGCAAACTAACCATAGAGCTGCCTGTTCTGAGGTACGTGACGATGCAAAATCCAGATTATTCTTTTTTACATTCATCCTATAGTCCAAAGTATAGGATAAATTATTGGGTTTAGTAAATTAAGCTTGTTGTAAATGTTCTTCAGTTATGTGCAAGTACTATGAGACGTATAATCCAGGATAATATTAGGACACTTTCTTTAGTTGGACAATTGCTATTTCCATCATTCTGTTAATTAACCCTGAAGAGCCAGAGTGGAGAAAACCACAGTTCTCTGGGATACAGCCGGCTACTTGCACTGTGCCTTCGAAATGGACAGACCCAATTCACCCAGCGTACAAAACCTTCCAGATAAATGGACAGCAATGTTATTCTTCAGGTATGCACTAAACCAGCCATGAAATCGATGCTGCCAGCTCATCAGGAACTGCTATTGTCTGTAAACGAGTCTAACAGATCCACCCAACCCGGACCTTCTTGCTTTAATGGAACATTTCTTCTTCTGGGAGCAAATTTGATTTCTTGGCTCTGGGAAAGGGCCTTCATAATGGACATGAAAATACAACTCTGGTTTTGTCTTGAAGACAGTTTGTAATTTTTTTCTCTCCTACCAGAACACAGGTCCAATATTGTCTATATGGAAAAAATACATCGGCTGCTTGGATAAATGAGAATATGTATGCTACTCCCAGTCTGACAACATGCACCGACTGCCACAGAACAGCATGGCAAGAGTTCCTTTTTCCACCTACATTTGCAACACTATGTCCCAGCTTACGTATGTATGCAGCACCAACTACCAACATATCTACGGTCTGCTTCTACAGAAAGAGATAGAAATGAGATAATACACAGTTGAAACCCAGGTTTTTAATCTCAAGAAGGCTTTGAAATATACAGGAGTTTTCTATAACCAAGGGTTGATCAAAGAATGAGAATTAAATACCTAGATTCCACAGAAACTGTTCTGAGTTTTGCAAGAGTCAGCTCTCTTCTGTCTCATAATGTGCTGAGCAGATGCCATCACTGCAGTGTATCATCATGTTCCCACTGAAAGCAACTGCAAAATTCCCATAAGGGTTCAACAAATACAGTAATTTCAGTGGCAGCCGAGGACACTCAGACCCTCACACGGCTGAGCCTGCACCTTTCAGATCACAGGGGAGGACTGTCCTCTCATCGACTGCATGGGACCCTTCTCAGGAGAACATCTGAACAAAAATGTTCACACAGTTACATGTATTACACTGCCAGTGTGCCTCCCACGTAGGAGGGTTTGTCCTGAATCCTTAGGTGAAAATCTCTCCTTGCACCCACTGCCACACATTGTGCCCTGCGGTGCTGGTCTAAGTGGGTTTGCATCTGTCATTCATAAAGGTAACACCTCCACCTATTCAAAGTGAAAGGTGCTTCAGCTCTACATTTACAGAGCATGCCGGGAGTTTTTAGGAGGAAAGCTGCAAGCAAAGTGTGGTATTATTCTAAGAAACAGCCTTGCACGGGTATTGGACAAACAGATGTCTTCAGCTAATGTAGGACCTGGCCGCTGGCAGGAAATAATTCTGCAAGTGGTGCTTGGACACATTTCAAGAGCTGAAGCATAGCCGGCTGATTACCAGTTCTCACCTTTCAAACGGAGACCAACTGGGGAAGGTCAGAGCTGCTGCTGATAGGCCAGACAGATGGAATTAATTTAAGTGTCTGGCAAACACCTTCACCAAAATATGCTGAAAATTTTGCTATTGAAAGTAGCTCAGCAAGCCGAGTTCATTATCCCACTTGAATCACGAAGCTCTCCCTTGCTCTAGCCGCTGTAGCAGCACAGAGGTCAGCAAAATCTGTAAAATCCACGGGAGCAGCAAGACACACGCGTGGGGACGTGGCCTGCCTGGGGTCCCTGCTGCCACCACGGGATCGCCGCCAGCCCACGCCGCTCTGCAGGCAGGAGCCCGGGAGCAGGATGATCCCCACTGCACGAGCCGGAAAACCACGCTACCTTCAGCTGCAGCTTCAGAAACACTGCGGTAAAGGTGTGGTGTCACGGGCTGCTTCAGCACTCACCAGGCGCGCAGCGCACGGGGACACACGCTTGTGCAGCCACCATCACAGCCCGATTCGTGGCACTGCCGCCGCACCGAAACGGTCCCGCAGGGTGCCAGTTATGGTTCAGGAGAACTGAACCCAGTGGCTCTCTCTGCTTTAGCTCATTTTTAAGTTCTCAACAAAGAAGCCGTTTCACAGGAACTTTCTCCTGTATGTTCATGACCCAAATTCCATGGCTTTAATTCTATATTTTCAGACTTGAATCACACGTTAAAAATAAACTGATGGGATGAAACCCACACCTTCCCTCTCTGAGACACACTCTCACACACATACTCCTCATGTGAAAGCAAAGCGATGCTTCAGGAGGCTTCATGGCTAGAGCAGTGCTTCAGGCATCCTGCTTGTTATTAAAATGTCACGGCGCAATTGGAACGTACGCAGGAGAATGAAAACAAACAGTGCTGTTGCCAGCACGCGCTGCAACTGCGGGAGAACGAGCTGCAGGGACAAGTTGTGTTTACATTTATAAATCCAATGCTGGGAGAAGGTAAAGACTATGGGATTTGAGGAATAGAGAAGGGGAAACAGTGCTGCTTCAGCTTCATGCTGCTCACACTTTGTCATACTGACGCAGTCGCGGTCATGAAAGATATTTAGGGTGGCCTATCTCTCTTTCCTTCTGTGCCTCCTGAAGAAGCGTTTAGCAGCTATTTATTTAGAAATCAATTCCAGCGCTGGAAACGTGCCAAAGACAGTAGCCAGAAGATGAAGGACATTCAATTCCTCTCCGAGCAAACGGCTACCGCCAGCGGTGGGCGGCAAAGGCAGCGACGCGCCCGGACCCGCGGGCTGCGCGGGTGCTTCTTCCTGTCCCGAGTTTTTTTAGGTTACAGCTGCCTATTTGCTACGCATCGGGGACAAAAATCTCCATTTTCTCAGCGCCGGCGGTCAGCTCTCCGCGCCGGGCCACGCCCCCTCCGCCCCGGGCCACGCCCCCCTCCGCGCCCGGCCACGCCCCCTCGCGGGGCCGCGCAGCCCCCGCCGGGCAGCAGGGGGCGCTGCCGCCAGCGCGCAGCCTTCCGAGCGGGAAGCGGAAGCGGAAGCGGCGGCGCGTGGTGCCGGTTGGGCGGCGGAAGGGCCCGTCCCGGCGGCCACCGGCGCTCGGCCGCGCGGTATGGCGGAAGCGGCGGCGGGGCGGGGCCCAGCGCCGGCCGAGGAGGGCGCGGAGCTGGCGGCCGTCATCGGCGCCACCGTGCCCACCGGGTTCGAGCTGACGGCGGCCGAGGAGGTGCAGGAGAAGCTGGGCTCGGCCTCCAGGATCAGCAAGGACCGCGGCAAGATCTACTTCGAGGTCCCGGCGCGGGGCCTGCCGCAGGTCGGCGAGCTTGCCGCCGGGAGCGGGGTCCGGTGTGTGCGGGGAGGGGGGGTCCGGGAGTCCCGCTCGGTGTCGGGCGGTGGGTCCGGTCTGTGGCGGGGGGGGGGGCCCGGGAGTCCCGCTCGGTGTCGGGCGGTGGGTCCGGTCTGTGGCGGGGGGGTGGGCCCGGGAGTCCCGCTCGGTGTCGGGCGGTGGGTCCGGTCTGTGGCGGGGGGGGGGGCCCGGGAGTCCCGCTCGGTGTCGGGCGGTGGGTCCGGTCTGTGGCGGGGGGGGGGGGGCCCGGGAGTCCCGCTCGGTGTCGGGCGGTGGGTCCGGTCTGTGGCGGGGGGGGGGGGGCGGCGGGAGTCCCGCTCGGTGTCGTCCGGCGTTGCACACGGAGTCGTAGCCCCCGTGTAAACACAAGCGGGAAGCCGAGGGCGCTGGCCTCCCGGTGCGAGGTGAAGCTCGCACTGCAGCGAACACCCCCAGGCACCGCCGGCCCCTAACTGCCACCCGGCGTTCTGTTTTTTTCCCAGGTCCACCGCCTGAGGTCAGTGGATAACTTGTTTGTCGTTGTCCAGGAGTTCAAAGACTATCAATTTAAAGAAAACAAGGTGAGTTGCTCCTCCTGTTTCAATCGGTTCTGACTTTTGGAGTGTTTTCAATTTAAGACTCGCTTCAGAAAGTATTCTGCTTCATTAGCAAGTTGGGGTTTTTTATTTTATTTGTGATGGTATCCCAGTGCTCTTTAGTGGCTTGTAAAATCTGGCTTGTGCAGTCGTGTTGTTTAACATCATTCCTTCCGTTAAATATGTTGCACAGGCAAAGTCTAGGGTGAGAGCTGATGCTGTGCTTGTACGTCACACTGGGACATGGGACGGTGAAGTATTGCTTCAGTCACTTAATGTAGTGTTTGCTGGTTATTTGACAAGATAAATGGTGAAATACTTTGGGTCCCGTGACTTGAAGTGCGATTCAGTTTAGTTACGGCAAAAATCTCACGAAAACCTATAAGCTTTGCTTACAAGTTTAGGAAACTAATTTGAGAGACTTGAAAAAAAAATGATAGCTTTTAAAGGGATGGAATGATTTCAAAGCATGACTCTTTTTGTCCTTTAAAGGAAGATGCTCTAAAGGATTTGGAAGATTTGGTTAAACAACTGCCTTGGACCAATCCGTTGAAAGTTTGGGAGCTAAACAACAGCTTAAAAAAGAAAAAGACAAAGCGCAAAAAACATAATCTGCCGAGTACTGCAAGCAAAGAGAAGCTGAATGATGATGGAGAACAGGAAGGAACAGATCAAAAGGATGCTGGTAAACAGGAGGACTGTGCCCAAAGCGCTGCCGGCCTACAACCCGCGAGCAGCCAGGAGACAGAAAAGGCAGAAGGAGTGGCATCCCGAAACGGGGAGGAGGAGGAGGAGGAGAACGAACAGTCAGAGGCTAAAGACGAGTTGCAGGCGGGTTCTGGGGGCGCGCCCGAGGCTGGCGAGGGTAAGACAGGCGAAGGAGAGGTGAAGGTGCTGAAGTTCCGTGTTACCTGCAATAGAGCCGGGGACAAGCACAGCTTCACGTCGAACGAGGCCGCAAGAGACTTCGGGGGAGCTGTGCAGGAGCACTTCCAGTGGAAAGCTGACATGACTAACTTTGATGTAGAGGTATAGTGCTGTGCCTTGGAAATACCTACACTTCTAGTGCAGAAATTCTTAGTTCTTAATTCTGATGCTTAGAGGTCTCCAAAATGCCTTCAAAAGATGGCTCTGGAACTGGAAACTGGTAATGCTGAAATGACAGCCTCCTGAGAAGCATTCGTTTCACTGGCACGTTTTGTGCGTCCTCAGATCCCAGCACTGGCTAGTGCTCTGGCTATCCATAATAATAATAATCTCTTCTGTGGCTCAGCATGGGCACCTCTCCTCTTCCTCAGGTCCCTCTTTTGCTCTGCAAACACTGTTGTCTCCTCCTCAGGTTAACTGATTAATGTCACTACACCCAGTGCAGCTGAGCTGGTGCTCAAAAGCTTTCTGCTCTCCCTCAAACACAGCAGAAGCTCTGGTACTGAGCAGTAGTACCTCCTCCTACAGCGTTTGGTCTCATTCGTATTTAAATATAATGTAGATGCCTTATGCTTTACTTTTACCCTCGTGCAATCTTTCCTTAATCTGCTGGTTTATATTGGTGCAAGTTAACAGCAGATATTCCATCTAGAAGCTGCAGTGTTAGGGGTGAAGCGCACACAAAGGTTTAACATTAACTGTTCAGTGTTTATTTCTTACCCTAGGGAAAGCAGAGACGTGGTCCGGCAGTGGTGCGGCACCACCATTTCTGAGGGGCAGAAAAACTAGGTTTTTCTTGCAGGTCTGTTAAGGGCTGGCCCACTGTCCTGTAACAGTATCTTCACCTTCCAAATTACTGTGGTGGAGGAGACCAGGAATAGGATTTTTATTGCTGCTTTGCAAGTGCTTCACTGTGACCTGCAGGACTTACCTTCTCCCCCATACTTACAAAACAAATCTTTTAAAAGTGAGCGTAACGGTTATAGCACTTTTTGAAGTCTTGTGTAAAAGATTCTGTGTGAATGAGAGAATGCTTGTACTCGTTACGTGTGAATGCTCTCCTGAATTTTGTCCATTGTTGCCATTAAAATGGGGCATTGCTTTTCTTCCAAGAATGCTCTTCTGTACATAGCTCCTGTTTCTTAAATTGCCATCTAAGATTCTCGTAACAGGCATACTATGGAAAAATTCTGTTACTCCAGAAATTTATTTCAGGTTTTTTCTTTAGGTTCTTCTGAATATTCACAATAATGAAGTAGTTGTGGGTATTGCATTAACTGAAGAGAGTCTTCACAGAAGAAATATTACACATTTTGGACCCACAACTCTTCGTTCAACTCTGGCTTATGGCATGCTTAGGTCAGTGCAATTGCATAGTATTATGTTATTCTCAGTTAACAAGTTGTTTTGTTTCTGAAATTAGATCCTTTATCCCTCCCCACTGCTTCCTCAAAAGCCATTTCTGTTAATTCTTTAAAAAAAGCATAGTTGCTGAGACAGTGTGCTTTGTAACAGTGGATGTTTTCCAGCTAAGTAAACATTTGCTGTGTTAGCCAATTTTCAAAATACTGTATCACATTCTTGAAAGTATTTCACTGTATTGCTGCTTACAAAATGCTAATTAACAAATGGAAAAAATTATCGCATAGAAGTTTTTTTTGTTAGAAAGGTAGAATCAGAGTGACTAAAATAGTTCAGTTTTCCTTCCTTACCGAAATTCATGTTTTAAAGACTTTTCTCACTATATCCTTTCTTCTGGTCCTCAGACTCTGTGATCCACAGCCAACGGATATCATAGTTGATCCCATGTGTGGCACAGGTGCAATACCAATAGAGGTGATTCTTCCTTTATGTTTAACTTAACAAAACTTGACAGTATCTACAACTGAATATGTGCAGGTTTCCTTGGTAATAACTGAAGAGTGAACTCCAAAGTATCTCACCAACTTCTACACAGATACAGATACACTTTTTGTAAATTACTTCATTTTCCTTCCCAAGGCTGTAGCTGGAAAAAACTAAATCCAAAAGTATTTTCAGCTTTTAATGTGCATAATACCTGTAACAGATATTTGTCACAGAATTTTGAAATCAATGATGTCCACTTCCAGTTGCTTTGTTGTATTCTGTCATGTTTGAGTAATTCTTCTGTTTTGTTTTGCTCAAAATTAAGCAATGTTTGATGCTAATGTAGCTTATTATCAATATGTCCCCTAGGGAGCTACAGAATGGCCTAGCTGCTACCATATTGCTGGTGATAACAACCCACAAGCTGTAAAGAGAGCAGCAAACAACATCTGCTCTTTACTAAAGAAAAATGAGAATAAGGAAAGGTGAGAAGAGTGCAGGTGACTTTCTTCTGTAGTACTGTATGTAAAGACATCCATTTTGTATTGATGCATTTGACTGTCCTGTTCATATTTTCCTATTTATTCTTTTGCTAACATTACAGACCTCCTCAATTTAAAAATATTCTCAGTAAACCATGTCAGAGATAAATGTCTTTGCACTTGCAGCAGCACTTCCCTGGGTATACCCTTAGACATCATTCAGTGGGATATCTGCAACCTCCCTTTGCGGACTGGTTCTGTGGACATTATTGTGACAGACATGCCGTTTGGAAAGAGGTGAGCTCTCGCTGGTAGAGTTCCTGTGCCTGGGCTTGCCTGGCCAGGGCTCTCGCCAGCACTTACTGAACTGGGCCTAGCTAAGCAGTATTGATGTGCTCTATCTTAAAAATGTGCGTTGGAATTAATGGTAAATGTGGTCCTGCATGAGCTAACCCATGTCTGAAAGACCAACAACAGTTAACTGTTTTTCAGTGGTCACAAAGGGGATCCTAATTTATTTTGCAGGATAGGGTCAAAGAAGAAGAACTGGGACCTCTACCCGGCCTGCCTGATGGAGATGGGCCGGATCTGCACACCGGGGACAGGCAGGGCTGTGCTGCTTACACAGGACAAGAAATGCTTTGCCAAGGTATGTTCTGTGAGAGAAAATCAAACCTATTTACACTTGAAAATATACTGAGGAAGAAATGGTAAGCTGACTTCATTACAGAAGATGATCTATTTTTAGAGCAGTAATTAGAAACATTTCAGCACAGTTTTGGACCTGAAGAGTCATTTGACATGGCCAACAGATGTGATTTAGAATAATAAAAAATGATTTCTAAAGCAAATTTACCCTTACCATCTTGAAGCTGCCACCACTCTTTGGCTGTTTGTTTCTTGGATTGTAGGCCTTGTCACGAATGGGACACATCTGGCGCAAAGGTCAGACTGTATGGGTGAACGTGGGGGGACTTCATGCCGCAGTGTATCTTCTGAAACGCACCTGGGAGAGAGCAGAAGAAAAAAGATCATTCTGGTAGCCTGCATGGAAGAAAACAAGAGACACCTCCAGAATTTGCTGAATAGCAGTTGGGTAAAGCAGACACTGAAGAGCATGGGTGTCTCAGTTCCTGAGGAAGAAAACCCAAACAACTTATGTAGAAATTGTGTAACGCAAATATTAAACCAGGGATCAACTTGAGAGCTACCCGTTATACTAACTGTTCTGAAGCTTTGTTATTCAAATGACCTCTTTCGTCCACGCCACCCAAACTGAAATACAGTAGTGGAATTAGTAATGCTTTCCTTTGCATTTTCCATTGTATTTTTCAGTTAAGTGGTTATTTCCTCTGCTTATAGTAGAAAACATGTTGAGGCAGCTTTGGAGGTAACAGTTAATTTACTTCCCAAACTGTAGAAATTGTATATCTATCTTTCAAATAACTAACAGGACTACTAAGACTGTGATCTTGAAGGGTTTAGAGGTAGTATCTCTTTAATGTAGGGTTTTCCCAAACTGAAGTTTTCTAACTTATACCATTGCCCAAATGTAAACTAAGATAGTAAACCAGTGGTTGTTTTTTATGGTCTGCTAAGCAAACGCCAGTTAGTGAACAGTATGCTGATGCTACTGTTTTCCTTACCTGTTACCTCAACTTAGTGCTAGTTATTAGTAAATATCTAACCCATGTTTTAATGTACCACTGCCATGGGTGAGGGGGGTAATACACACAGCCGTAGCAAACCGGCTGTAGTTACTACTTGAGAATAGAGATACTTTTGGCAATTACATTCAAAACTTCATGTTTTCAGTGTCTGCTGTAAACACATCAAGGTGACAATAAATTTATTAGGTGATTTAACTGCCATAGTTACACCACAATATTTACAAAAAATATATTACCTGTTGAATAACTTGGTTTCAAATACTTTTTTCTTCCGTGAATGTACTGTGATTTCTCAAGCCTCTTTTTGCTCATCAGAAGCTGAAAACACTAGTTACCAGTTTGCCATTTTCATTAAAGTGTATTCATGCTAAGTATGTGTGTTTAGAGGTAAATTAACAAGTATTAAAGTTTTAGAAGTTTTGCATAGGAGGTAAGTCTTAATTGTATTGTTTTTCTGGTCCATGTCTAGTAAAGGATGATTCAGCCCTTTTTTATCCAGAAAGACAACTGTGTATTAAATACAGCGCTGGCAGCACCCGATTAATTCTTTCCCACACGGCATGGTTTATGTGGCAGTGTCAAGGTGACACACACAGTTGCACGAGGCGGCTATCTAAACACACCCGCTCTAGTGAACTCTACAACTTAACCTGGGTGTATTACACTCTTAAACGCAGTAACACCTTGGTGGTTTGTTACTATTGGTATTTTTTTTTAAAGGAAAGCCAAGCACAGTAACATTTTAAGACCTTATAGTGTGCATTTTTAAGTACTTTTTTGTCTTAAAGATTAGAATGAGATTAGTAAAATGCTAGTCATCCCTTTTGGCCTGGAAGGTGATAGGGTCATGTTTGTTTTTGTAAACCACAGCTAACATTAAATAGATACAAATCAGCTTAATGTGACGTAGCAAACAAGGCTTTAACTAACACTGGGAGTGGGAACAAAGGTTACTGACTGCTGCAGAGAATTTATATTTGATTTTCAACACATCACACTAAAATGTACAGCCTCATCTAATTGTGTTGTGTGATAGGAAACCATGGGTTTGAAAGCATTAAAGAATGCAGGAACGGGAAGATGTACAGTGATAGATGCATATCTCTGCTCTCTCGTAAGTGTAAATCTGTGCTCCAAATTGTACACTTTAAAGTAGTTTCTCACAAAGCCTGCACTTCTGGTTTTATGGAAGATTGGTACCAGACACTGAGGAATAACAGCTTTTTCCAGTTAAAATAATCTGCCTCGTAGGTTATATATGCTGTGTAATCCCACGATGCTGCACACCATTTCTTACAGCATCAGTAAGGATCTGAAATATGTGTTCCTTCCATGATGTGAATTTACTGCTTTCCTCTCGTAGAAGGAACGTGGGTAAGTGACTTCTTTGGAACAAGGGCCAGCACGCAAGGCTCCCCGACAGCTGACAGTTCTTACATTTTTTTTCCAGCACAGCTGAACATGCAACTGACGGATAACGGCTCCTCCTGCCATTCTCTACCCTAAACTTAAACACTTCCCCTCACGGGCTGCTAGCTGGGCAGTACAGAAACTACGAAAGCACCCCTCCTCTAAGCCTGGTTGCAGAAAGTTAACTATTCTGAAAGAAAAAGCTGGTAAGAGGCGTTGAGGCAGGGAAGGAAAAGGCACTGTCTTGATACTTCCAGCATTGTGGCCTACAAAGAGTGGAGGGGAATGCGCTAACCTGCGCTCCCCCGTGAAAGGCCGTGTCTCGAGGGTATCCTGTCAGGCGCTTGGGTGAGCTTCCTCCGGGCCTGCTTTGCAGTTTCCCCTCTCCGGAGGCCCGCGGGCCGCACAGCGCACACGACGCTGCCCTTTGTCGCCAGGGCTCCGGCCCCGCCGCCCAGGGGAGGAGCGGCCCCGGGGCCGCCATGACGGGCCCTAGCGGCGGCGCGCATGCGCAGCGCGGCGGCCGGGGCGGGATGGCGCCGCCGGGGCTGCGCTCCGCCGACACCCGCGAGCTCTCCGAGGTGGTCTTCAACAACCGCAGCCCGCGCTCCGTGCTCCCCATCTGGGTGGATTTCGAGGGCCGGCCGCGCTACTACCCGGTCCTGCAGCCGCGCACCGGGCGGGTCATGCACAGCTACCGCGGTGGGTGCGGCCGGCGGCGGCGGGGCCGCGGCCTCTGACCGGGGAGCCCGGGCGGGGGGGGGTGCGGAGCGGATCCTCGCCGGTGCCCCTCAGAACCGCGCGCGGGAAAGTGGGGTGACGGCCGCGTCTGCACCTTGTTCTGCCCCAGGTCACCTCTGGCTGTTCCGGGACGCGGGGACGAACGACGGCCTCCTCGTCAACCAGCAGGAGCTGTTCGTGGCGGCTCCCGAAGTCAGCAAAGCAGACATCACCCTGCCAGGTACGCGGAACAGGGCCGCGGGAACGGGTGGGTTTTGTACGGGACCTCCGTGGGCTTCGGTGGGGGGGGGATCTAGTGGGAGATCGAGTACTGAAAACCCGCCTCAAAAGCCGGCAGAGCCCGTGCGGGTTCCTGCGTAGAGCCGCGCTGGTGCGTTGCGTCGCACAGAGCTGTCGGCACACCTTTCGTTTCCAGGTGCCTGGTGGGTGCCGTAGGGTGCCTCGCCACAGGAAACAAGTTCCCCTCCTCTCTTCCTGGCGAGCCTCCCCTGCCGCGACCTGCCCGGCTGCGTGTCCTGTTCTGTACCCACGCGCTGGCAGCAGTGCTGGCTGCGGTGGGGCAGCAGCTGGTGAGAGCCCTTGTGACGAGGTGCTGTGTTTGTTTTTAACCTCAGTGTTCACCCTGAAAGAGAGATGTCTCCAGGTGGTGCGCAGTCTGGTCAAACCGATGGACTACAGGAAACTGGACATTGTTCGATCGTTGTATGAAGAGCTGGAAGATCATCCTGATATTAGGAAGGATCTTCAGCGGCTTTCTCTGGAGAGAAGCGAAACGTTGAGGAATGGAATTCTGGAATAACACAGTTACTCACTCCAGACTCTTTAAATAGCAAACCACTGAGCTTAAGCAGGGATAGTCACCATGAAACATGCCGAGAACTAATGTCTGTGTTTTACGTTCTGAAACATAAACTGAGTTAAATTGTGGAAAACTTGCTGTGATGGTAAGTCGGATCCAAAAGGCTGAACGGCGTGTAGAAGCACGCCAGGTTCCTGATGGCTCCGTTCTGTTCTTCGTTACCCGTATTGCAAACCGATGACTCCCGAGGCCTCGTGCAGGTGACGCTCAGAGAAGTGGTGTCTGTACTATCTCAGAACACTGCATAGGGACATAAGATCAGGTCATCTCTTTGGAGAATATGTATACAGATCAATTTTCTTTGTATTAGAAAGTAAATTACACCAAGGATTAATTTAATCCAGACTCTAATGATTATAAGTGGCAGACCAACACCAGTTTTTCTTTAATGATTTGTTTTTGATGGAATTTCACCCCCTCATGTTTAGCCTAGCCTTGCCTGTGACTCAGAAAGTGTGTGGGGTGTTTGTGTATGCGAGGGTTTCCATCACCACCTGCTGAGGACCTGACCTGAGACATTATGTTCGTGGAAAGATGAGGTGTAAATGCTTGGGGTTTTTTCTGCCTCCTGCCTTTGCATTTATAAACCTATGTCATATCAACTGTGAGCTGACACTTTTTTACACAGATCAATGCCCTGAACGCCTTTTTTGTCCATGATTGGATTCTTGCCTACTTTATCTCAAGGTGATCCAACCAGGATCCTAGTTTTGGGGCACCTTCCTTCCTCCTCCGCAGGTGCTTGCCCAGCTGCCAGTGCAGGCGCATCAGGCAGCGTTCCCAGCGGGTAGGTGCTCCGAGTCCTACCTTTCCCCATCGCAATGCAGTTCAGGTCGTAGTGGGAGGCCTTGTCAGGGAGCGTGGACCACTCGAGCTGCTCGTGTCTCCTAAGGAACAGGCAGCAGACTGTATCAGCTCCTACGGGCCTATTGCTCGGTCCGGCTCACAGGCAGACCCATGCTTTATTACAGGATAGAAAAGCAGAGGAAACGTTTCTTTACCTATATTCTGTTCCCCCCATGCCTCAATTAGAATGTGTATTTGCGTGAATGTACACACGTAATTCAAGGCAGCATAGTTTTTAGCAGGTACATGAATTGTCCACCAAGTAACAGATGTTGCTGTTCAATGTTAGAAGCGGATTGATGGGAGATTATAGCAGGTTATTTCTGTGATTTCTGTGGCATACATTTCTTTCCAGCTTTACATTCTAAGAAACATAGCTCTGAAACTGAGAATATCAACGCATTCTGTAAGTATGAAATGTCTCCCCTTTTGTAGACTTGTTTTTCTTACATATTTGAAGTGTATTAATTGTTCTTTGTCGTAAAAATGTAAATCCACGCTAACTTTTTTTACTCTGCTTCTGTCAAATGACTTCACCGTGCTTGTGACTGTATGCTTGTATTGCTGCACTACTCCTGCAGGTCACTCTGGTCGATCAGTAGCAGATACTTTTGGATTGAGTTTACGGGCTGTTCAGCATCCTGCCGCTGCAGGACTGCGCCGTGGCCAACACCGAGCTGCTGTCACAACTTCAGGCAGTGTCTGTGCGTGAACATAGCTACATGACAATTTCTGCTTTTACCGCCCTTTGCAGATCTTTTTCAGAGACAAGTGGGCCAGTGCGGGCCTGGGGAGCAGACATCAGCGAGCCACCCCGCTCCTGGGGATCCCTTCAGTCGGAGGGTGCCGCGCGGTGCTCTGCAGGTAGGGTCCTGCAGGGACCCGAGGGGAGTTTCTCTCCTGATGCCCTTGCGATGCTGTGCGTTGCCATTAACGTGGCAGTGCTGCCAGCCAGCTGCAGAAAACTGGCCTGCTTGACTCTGGAGTTTTAATGTAGTAGGTATTAGGTTTAATAGATCTGTACATCACACACATTCTGAATTTCCAATTTATATGGGATCTGGGATCTCTTGTGGTGCTTATTAGAGTAATTTAAATTTATTCCATTAGTCTGTGACTTCTTCCAGTATACAGCCAGTCGCTGATACTTTCCTAGTACAATGTCTATCAGTGCTATTGGATCAGATCCTTGGATTCCTGTATGTTAGCAGGCAGAAAAGCATACTTCTGTATCTGTAACTCGACAAAAACAAACGCAGGAAAACTGCCTCATGATCTCATTGCTTGTAGGAGTATCCTGTCTTTGCTTAACTTTTAGCTACATCTGCTGAATTCCAGGGTGACTTCAACCCTTAGCTCAAGAGCAGCTCCTTATAGGCAACAATTAGTTGTGGATGCTTGTGTTAATTTGCTGTGGTTCAGCCCATTTTCTAAAGGACATTTTCTGTCTGCTCTTTTGAAGACTGACTGGAGGGTGGTTTGTTACTGTGTAGAAATGAACCAAAGATCCGTCAGTCTCTGGACAGCCTGACTGATTAGGGGACACCCAAAGCAGGGAGGAGCATTGGATTGTTCCTCAGTGACTGTTCAATCTGCATAAATTGCCTAAAAATACAGAAACAATTGTCAGGGTAGAGACCATCCTTCAGCTGTGTGCTGTCATATGCAGCAACCTAGCTACACGGTTTCTCTAGCACCTTTCTCTCATCAATTTGTGTTTTAAAAGTGAAACTTACTTAATTCTTCGGAAGATTCTGTGCTTTTACCCACAGAATCCCAAGTACAAGGTGGCATTTTCCTGAGTCCTTGAGGTATGGGAGTCCTAGGACAGGAATCTCACAAACCCTGCTTCAGTTCTATAGCTTTAGCATTTCATTACACACAGATGCTATTGATCCCCTGCGCTGCAGGCCAGCTGCTCTTGATCCCCTCCTGAGGTGGCAAATGCCTCACTCACAGAACAGAGGCCAGGAGGAGACTTCTGGATGCCACACAGGGCAGCTGTCTCTAACAGGCACTGCAGCAGCTGATTCTTAGTACCAAAGTACATTATTTGGATCTAGCTTCACAACCTTACAACATCACTTCATTCTGCCAACAGTAGCTGTTTGTTGCACAGCCGCCAAGAGTAGAAAGTACTTTATTTTTAAAATAATTACTGTCTCTTGCTTAATGTATAGCAAGAGGCAATCCATGCTTGAAATCTAATTCTTTCCCTAGACAAGCTAACAAAGGAAATTCTTCCATTTTGCAGATGAAATTGAGTTTTCCAAAGTTATGCAAGGAGCCTGGGAGAGGAAGGGACTGAACACCAGTAGTAAGTCTGATGCAGAACCCAGTTTGCGCAGCTGCCTCCTCTATTCCTCCCACAGCTGTTTGCTTGCAATGTGGATACATTTTCATGTGATGTCAATTCTGTAACTACTTAGGTAATTTTAGCTCTCACATACCATCTAAGTGTTGATTTTCCTGTTGACAAATAATGAAATACCTTTTTTTTTCCATATGTCAGGTTTAAAAACTTAGCAACTTCCTCTCTAAGATGAGAAGCACTTAAAAACATCTCTCACAAATAGCTGACAAGGTTTTGTTTTTACAGACCACTGAGTCACACATGATAATATGATTGATTGTCTTGCCACAGCCTGGCAGTACTGTTAAAAGTCTTGCTGCTTCTGCCTTGTCTTTTTTACCAACATGGCAGTGATTGTAAGCATGTTAAATAACACCTACCTTTGGCTGGGCTAATTATAAGAATCCAATTATCAAATACTCACAAGACCATGGACCACCATGGACTAGTTTAGTAATAACATCAGCCCAGCTGTCTATCTTCTTTTTTTCACTTAGAGTCATTCTAGCAGAAAAACAACTTGATTGAATATTGTTTGTCGTTCGAATGCAATAACTCATAATATTTTGGATATAACTTGGTTTTCATCCTGCAGCCAAACCCATGGCTTGAGTATTTACTCAAAATGCAAGGCACTGACAGATGTAAGGAACTAATTGACATAAAAGCCCATTCAACTAGAATTGTTAAAGCAGGTGCATAAATGCTGTACTCGAAATTTTTGGTCATTAAAGAACTCCTATTGATTAAACACAAAATCAGATGTTACAGATAGGTAAACTTCTGGAGGAATGCTCAACACATGCAAGAAAGTGTAATTCCTTGTTCTGTAGTGCTCCTCAGGGCCAGAATAAAAAAAAAAAGACTAGAGGAAAACCTCAGCTGGCTCCAAGACAAACACTGGAAAATGGAGCCTCCTACCAGTTACTCCACTGGGTTAGTAAGGAGAGAAGGTTGTCATTTACTTGTGACAACTACACTAGAAATCTGGGTAGTTTTTGGTCGGTCGCGGCAGTGCCGCCTTTGACAGCCCTGGGAGCAGCGGTATGTTGGGCAAGGACGGTTGGGACTGGCCTGGGAGCTCCAGCTCGGTGGGACCGTGCCGCTGCAGGAGGTGGCCAGTCACGGCTGGCGGTGACAAACACCAGAGAAAGAACCAATTCTGACAGTCGGTTAGTGTCCAGGGGCTCCAGGAGGGCATGCGGCGGGACAGTCACTTGAAAGTGAAGGCTAAACAACGGCAATAGATCGGGGCATTCCACTCTCCATGTGAAGTAAATTTCAGTTCCCTTGTAACACCTTTTATTATGTATGGTGTTTAGTGCGAGACTGAAGCTGTACACACAGTTGGATGGATTCTTTCCCCTTGTTTTCCCAGGAGGCAAATAGTCCAAAATATTTCACAGGTTTTTTTCCAGTACCCAAGGGACAGAAGTGTCTTTTCGTTCTCTTTTTATCCAATTCTTTGCAACACAAATTTCAGACTCAACTTACATGACTTTCAGAGACGCTCTGATCATCTTCCCATGACAGAGAATTTAGGTGTGTATCGGAGGAACAGTAAGCAGCGAAAAGGGAGGGTAAAGCCCCGTGAATTTAACTACTGATGTTGAAATAGTGCCACTGCTAAACAGCTAGGTCCTGAGGCAATCTTTGAATTGTGGTATTTTAAATAATAATACACTTTGGGTATTTTTGTTTAGTCTTTTTTTTTTTTTTTCTGTCTTTTGATCTTGTAGCTACATTAATATCACATTTTTCAGCCTTTCCTTACCACAGTGGGTTTAAGAAATTCGTTGTTGCTTTAATGGTACTTGAGAGCTTCATGATTTCTGAGGCAAGAAGTACGGAAAACTGCCTAAGTTTAAAAGTTTGATACTGTAAACAAGAGTTAGCTGTACTGTAAAACACATACAGATTATAAAGAACTAGTAAATTAAATGCTCTTAAAACTTACAGTGCTGTTTGAAATTAATACAAAAGACCTAGTGCTAAGTATGAGCAAAAAGAACAGAAAGAGGAATGGGTTATGATTATGTATTGCGAACTGTCCCATGATGGCAGAGGTACAGCTGTGAGGCTCTCCCAGTAGATCATTTTGTCAGAAGCATTTGTAGCATGTACACTGGAAAATTAATTAATTATAAATTTTTATCAAAATAAGGTTAAAGACAAAAAAAGGGAAAAACTAGAAATTTAGAAAAATTGTTGTTTTTAAGAACCTATTTTAAACCTCATCCTTGACTAGTGAGACCTGGCCATATGTCCACTTCTGATGTTTTTTACTTCTCACTCCCTCCCTGCCTCTGCTACCGTAGTACATATTGTAAGAAGTGAAATCCTACATGCTGCAATATAAAATCCCGGCAGCAGGCAGCCGGGCGGCAGGGTCACAGCTCAGCACTAGCTGGCGGTGCTTTTTACTGCCCTCCCTGTTGGTACGTGTTTCTTTCCGAGACCTTGTGAGACCTTTGAAACTTTCTCAATCCCCAGTTGCACAGCACCCACCACAGTGGGGAGCGTGGCCGGTGCAGCTCTGGGGGGGCTCGACATTTAAACACACGCACATATCTGCACCTGCACAGCTGAACAAACCACTAGCCAGCTGGCCTGGAGCGGTGGCCGAAGCCCGGGCTGAGCTGGCCAGCTGCTCCGCCGCGCACCGCTCCTGCCTACGTGCACCTCGCTCTGCCTGTAAGCCCGAGTTGCACGGCCTGCTGGCAATACCAGCCGTGCGTAACATGCAGGAAAGCATCTTTCACCTCCATCACATGAAACTTGTAATTTGGCAACCAGGCTGGGGCAATAAGCACTCATGGAAAGGAAAATCTGATTTGCATTTGGGGCCGGGGCCTGACGTCAGCAGGAAGCAGCGGAGTGTGGTCTGACCCTGCCAAGAAACGCTCGCCTGTGTCAGCCGGTTCTTCCCCCAGCAAAGAGCGCGTCGGGCCGGGGTGGGGACAGGCTGCCAAGGCCAGCCCCTTTGAGAAGAGGAAGCTTTTGGAGAAAATCAACCCTGGGCAGCTCGCAGAGGAGGCAGAGCCCGGTGAGCGTCACCGCCTGCGGCCGCAGTCCCTGCCCTCGGCGTGCACCATGCGTGGCCCCCGCTGATGGCCGCTCCGGGGACAAGGGCCTCTCCGGAGAGGGACTGCGAAGCGATGACCCTGCAGCAGCCGCCCCTGGCCCTGAAAGGGGGCTCCTCCCCGGCTCTGTACATCCACAGCATGCCTGCCTGGGTGCTGGAGGATTTCTGCCAGAAGATGGACTGCCTGAGCGACTACGACTGGATGCGATTCGGTGAGAGGGGACCGGCGCTCCCCGGGGTGGCGGTGGGGGCACACGGGACGTGTGCTGCAAGGGCGCGAGGGACGCGGCCGTCCCCACGCAGGGCCTCTGGCCGAGTCGCTGCCCAGCGCTCCGAAGGGCTAATCCCGGAGACAGGGAATTCCCATGCACCAGTCTGTTTTCGGGAGCAAGTGAAACCTCTGATTAATGGGTGGAATTCCAGACTTCCGCATTCCCTCGGCAGCCAGGCTCCCTCCCCTCGCTCGCCGCTATCTTTCACGCTCCCCTTTCTGTTCACACTTTAACTTCTGGTACATGCTTGCTTGTTCTCAAAACATCCCTCACATGTGCTTAGATGTTTTACTTTTTCCTGTCTTCCTTCACTTCATGTATATTCTCTCATACTTAACTGCCCCTATTTTTCTCCGTGTCCAGTTAATAAGTACAGAAAATGTAGTCCCTG